AATAATACTGGAGAAGAATTAAATGAAGTCCAAAAGCTGAAATTGTAGGCGAGCAGGCCAATCAAAATCCAATTGATAGTGAAAATACTTTAGCACCATGATTCCCCATTGGGTGCCTCTAAGGTTCCCTTGTCCATCATTCACACAGGAGACTCACCCTGCATACTCCTTCTGAAGATGTCCCCGTTGTCAGAAGCCCATCACAACACAAGGGAGCTTCTCCTGTCCCACTCCCAGGCCATGACAGACTCGCCCTTAGGCAGTCTCATTTTAGCACTTATTTGTTAACTTTAATCTGCATTTTTGTTCTGTTTTTCAAAATTTCCTTAGCCACCTTGTATGCTCCCCAGAGGAGAAAGACAGAGTATAAATTCAGTAAGTAAGTAGAATAAATCTCCTAATGGATGGATCCATTGCAGAGATTTTCTTTAATAGAGCTTCTTGAGGGCAATCTCTGCAATGGATTCATGCATTAGGAGATTTATTCATTCCTATCTTTATATACAGGTGGAAGGGGAAACTTCCCAATTATTTCATGGCTCCTGAGTGGTCCCTTCCATGGTTCATGTCAATATCTGAAGCTGCACAGCTCCCTCCCTTCAAGACAGGGGACCAGGACCTGGAAAACGACTTCACCTAGAAACTACATGACCTTGGGAAGATGAATGAGGCTAAAACCATGTTTCCTGCAGTCCCTTTCAATGCACTTTGCATTGCATTTATCTGCACTTTCAAGGCACATCTTCTGGGAACAGGGAGGAATTAAATCTGCTCCAAAAATGCCCCTAAGAAGATGCTCACCTATCAAAAGTGATCCCCTTTCCAACAAATACCAATGGAGCTTCTTTGGGGTTGCTGCTGCCTTGGTAGTGGACTTCCAAAAAGACCGGGGGTTCATCAGAGCCTTTTGCAACACTCCAAAACGATCCCATTCCTTGCGCCTGTATCCAAGATTTATCCCTGGAATGACAGAGAACCATTCCCATCATTTCTTTCCCAATTACTGAAAGAGGAGCGGGAGGACGCATAGCATTCCCAAGTCTCGGCTTATCAACAAAATAATAATAATCTTTCTCAAATTCTAAGATGACAAGAAAGCAAATAAATTAAAAAAATGTTTATATTAACTGAGTTTCCCTTTTACAGCTGTTCTGTCTACAACATCCCTCTGCAACAGTTTCTCCTTTACAGTAAAACATGGACACAATCCTGCCCTCCTTATTTGCAGAGACTCGTGGAAAGGTGTGGAGCAGGAAAGCACTGCTCTCAGACCAACCTGCAGCAACCAATCATACTTTTCCTGGTTCCTGTATAAAATACCTCCTCTTAAGTCACTTTCAACATATTATCTTGAAGGCTTCCTTCTACTGTACAGCAACTGTAACCAACTGCCTTGCAAACAAACCTAGGAAAACCTGGCTCCCCTAGTTACATTATAACTGGCATTTAGGGATTATTTGCAAACACCACCATTACAATACATAAATCAGCAGATAATACACTGTTTCTTTGCTTAGTAAGTTACTTCCCCTTTTCTTGCCCCCCACCCAAAAGCCCTCTTGCAGCTTCCTACATCCTCTTGGAGCACCTGTTCTGTACAACATGGGCAACTGAATTCATAATGTTTTTCTTAACTTCTCTTAACTCACCATCTTGCTTGCTCAAAGAAGATTATTTGCCCCTTCTTACTGGATAGATCATCAAAATTCCCCAAAGGGTTGCTAAACTGGTTGCAACTGCTATAGCCGTTAAGACATTTAATTGCCTTGCAATTTCAATACTTTGTTTTACCATTCATGCTAATTTGCATTATGTTTTGTTACTTTTTGACTGTTTTGAATATGAGTGCCTCTTCTGGTTTGCATGCTTTGGATTGTAAAAGCAATAGAAAGTAATAAATATTCTTGATTCTTGCAGGGGGGAAAAGCTTGCAGTAAGATCCCCCCCAGACCCAGGGTGTGCACACAAATTATGTGTACAACTGTCTTTTACCTGCAGGGTTCCTTCAAGTCACAGTAATAAAATTTACAACCGCGGCATTTCTATTTTCCCAGCATGCACTACAAAGCAGAAATAAGCAAGGGCTGTATGGAAGAATTTAAGCTATATATTAATAAATGGTTTAAACGGATATTTAGCAAGCACTAGAAGCAAGTAGGTATGCAAGAATGGTTTCTATATTGTATTTCTGGTTAGGCATCAAGAGGAAGTTGTCAGAACAACTAGAGGTTAGGGTCCGGGTTAACGAAGCTCTGTTTGATATTTAGCAGATATATTTGGTGAGTACAACTTAGTGACTTGGTCTATTTAAACTTTGTCTTCCATAATTAATTCGTAACCAATCACATTCATAATCTTGTATTTACTTGTCGTATGATTATAAATACACCCTATTTCCTTTATATCAGGGTCTGGCCCCTGGAATGTTTCGGAACATGTCCCTGTGTGTGCTTGACCTGAATCTGGAAACCCATAATGCATTTTGGAGACTGACTTATTCTTGTGTCTTGCCTGAACAGACAAAGCAAACCTCAGCTTGAGAAGGGAAATGGGACGGAAATTCAGGAGTTTGGTCTTACAGATTTTTCTCCAATAGCTGCCAGGCAGAGCAAAGTAAAAAGACTCAGAATTCTACAGCAGCTGAGAGCCATAAAGGATATTTATGGTTTTGATCACACAGGGAAATATGGAGAATTTCCATAGGAGGTCTAAATTAACAATGGGGTAGCTGCCACTAGGTTGCATATGTTAGTGGGTTCAGATGCATAAGCCCATGTTTCTCAGCCTTAGCAACTTTAAGAAGTGTGGACTTCAACTCCCAGAATTCCCCAGCCAGCTTGCTCAATTCTGGGAGTTGAAATCCACACAACTTAAAGCTGCCAAGGTTGAGAAACACTGGAATAAGCTATTTGATGTATTACATAGCACTGAAGACAATGGCAGGCCCATAAAGCAACACTGGTACCTTAAATGCTAAGCCATGTTAAATAACTTGATGGAGGGCCTGCTCTCTTTAATTGTTCTGAGAAATATGGTACCAACAAAAAAAACCTCCTTAAACTGAACTTACCTTTTATGAACAGTCACATTGCTGAGGAGGGCCTGCTCTCTTTAATTGTTCTGAGAAATATGGTACCAACAAAAAAAACCTCCTTAAACTGAACTTACCTTTTATGAACAGTCACATTGCTGAGGAGGGCCTGCTCTCTTTAATTGTTCTGAGAAATATGGTACCAACAAAAAAAACCTCCTTAAACTGAACTTACCTTTTATGAACAGTCACATTGCTGAAGCTTTTCAATTTGTCCTCAATGATGGTAGCAAATTTGGTTGGTGTGATGTGACTTGCTGGTCCTTCCATCAGGTATCTGGCCAAGTTCTGGCCTTCTGCATAGCGAATACCTTTCTCCCAGCCATCAGTTCCATCACTAAATAGGAATGCAGAAAGTTTAGCTACAAAGTACTGCTGCGGGGTTTCTTTATAGTGGCAAACAAAACAGAATTGTAGAACTTCACATTCATGGAAGGGAAGATCAAGCTCAGACATCCAATCTGGGAACCACATTCTCTCTTTCTGCACACCTGAGTCAGCAGGAGAGTCTTCAAAGACAACAACAGATGCCTGGAGGGCAGGGTGGGGAGCAGGAGCACATCCAAAGAATTGCAGCTTGCGAGTGCCAGGGCCGTTTCTTTCTAGGGAGGTGCCCCGAATGAGAAGGAAAGGGGGTCTGAGGAAGAGAGCTGAGGTTTTTCAAGCTGGACAGCTCACACAGGATAATGTTGGCCTGGACTGTGTTATTCTGGGAAAGAAATGGCAGACTGAAGATGGCTCCATGAAAAGCAGAGCTGACAACCACGGTGCAATGAGGAGCCGGCGAGTAGACCAGCTTTTTGATAATTCCTCTCCAGACAAAGAGAGGACTTGAAATTGCCCACAAGTGCTCCAGGCAGCTGCTTCTCATGAGGAGACCACCAGACAGTGGTCTCCAGTGGATTTAGAGCTCTGGGAGACAAGGGAGTGGCCATTTTATTACTCAAACCACAGCCAGCACCTCTAAGGGCACTGGGTTCACATGCTTCCTTTTCTAATCACTTTCAGAAATTGCTTATTAACTTCTTTTCAGCTATTAGGAACCTTTAGATCAACAAGTTTTACAAGCACTTCAATCCTCAGCAAAAGAAATTTTAAATACAAGTTTAAGGACTTAGACAATTTTTTTTA